GCTGTTTTCTTTTTTAAAGGTTGCAGGTGCAGAAACGTTTGTGTCTGAAAACGCCTTATTAGAAGAATATGTGAGCACTTTTCTGTCTGTCTCGCTGTCTGCCTATCGTCTGTCTATCGGTCGGTCTCTCTGTCTTTTTTGCCTTTCGTTTTCTTTTTGTTCTTTCAAATTTCTCGAATTCCCTCTTTATATTCCCTCCCCCTTCCTAACACCTTTTTTTCTCTGTCTATCGCTGTTCTTGCTTTCTCCTTCCTTCCCTTCCACTCACCCCCCCATCCCCCCACCCCCCGGGCTGCCTCCCGGTCTCTCTGTCTCCCCCTCTCTCACTCACTCTCTCTCTTTCCCCTCTCTCACTATCTCTCTTCTCTCTCTCTCCCTCTCTCTTTCGCTCCCCTTTTCCTTCTCTCTCTCTCTCTCTCTCTCTCTCTCTCTCTCTCTCCTCTTCATCTTCTCTCTCTCTCTCTCTCTCTCTCTCTCTCTCTCTCTCTCTCTCTCTCTTTCTCTCTCTCTCTCCCTCCCTCCTTCCCAAGGTATCAAAGGATGACGCCATAAACCTGAAGATATCACTTATTCATGACTCAGAGACAACAAACAGCGAGTGGTACAGCCTGTCGGAGAGTTAGGTTTTCTGTCCCCTAGGTCGCTGGCCTGTTTTCACAGCTGGGGTAAAGGTCATCCCTGACGTGGGGAAAAAGAATAGAGTCTAGGTCAATCGAATAAAGAATTTCTACGCTCATCTATCTCTTTATGTTGTTTGACATGTTGTTGTTTTTTCTAGGTCAGGTCTAACAGATTTTGGTCACAAATAAATATATTTACATATTATGAGGTCTAGTACTCAATTAACTTCTCTGTTTAAAAGAAGGCTCCTTGTGAAACAAAATCCCTTACGGCAGATGCCACTGAATACGTGAATTGCACGGATTTGTCCTTAGAATCGCATTTCCAAAAAAAGTGAAAAATTATTACCAACAGGACCAAGCTCAAACACGATAAATTTTGGAAATTAGAAAATAAAGTACCCCACCCATCCTTTAAAAACAAATTCACAGCACTTTTCTCCATTTTAGCACCAGCCAAGCTGAAGTGTGATATCTGGCCGAATTACAAATGTAATTGCTTTTTTTTTCTTCAGGGATTGCCTGCTGTTCAGCCACCCCAGGTTTCATCTCCACTTATAGATGCCGTGTGCTTGCGAGAACTTCTGATTGGAAAAGTTCTCTGCTTTTAAATGTAGGTGTTTTACTCCTCCATAGATGCATTTTGAAATCATTTTGGAAGCGAGCCTCAAACCATGCCTATCAGGTTTAACCCTGGTTGAGAGGGATACAACATCATAGTAAACAGACAGAGATACTCCATAAAAATTTGCCCCACTTGGGAATAGATCTAGAACTCGATCGGGTCTCCTGCATGTGACAACGAAGCGCACTAACAACTGCACCACAGACGTTAGTAATTTTCACCGTAAATAGTACATGCACAACGACATCTGTACTGATATGACAATTATTTTGGTAAGAAAACAAAAATCATGTCTTTGAATCCTATAAAGATTCATAGCATCACAGCATTAGTTGAATCTATTCTTCACCAAAATAAAGGAATAAACCACACAAAAGGTGTCGAAATGAACACCAAAAGAGGGATCCATTTTTTTTTTTACAAGGACGTGTTTTCCTTCTTTGATAGGACACAATACGCTTCAGTTGAATGCTTGACACAATCAGGCAATGTCAAAAGCGAAGCGCAAGGCTCAGAAATCAGAATTAACTCAGATTTTAAATAAAGTGAAAAGGCGAAATTAACGTTATCGTACAGAGAACTCAAAACACGTACATGTGAATATAGGTGCTCACATTTGTGCGTATGTGTATTTTTATCATTCCCTCCAAGGTGGGGGTTGGGGGGGGGGGGAGAAGGAGGAAGGATTGAGGTGGAACGTGGAATAATACTTGTACAAATACAATAACTTTTTCTGTCCACTCGTTTTTTATGTCTGTATGCCAGACAGAGGTGGGGGTACACAAAATATCGTACATTATTTTGGTAAATTTCCCCTCGCTTACATGCCAGTCAGTTTCCTACAGCAAGTGGGTCAGTGGGCGGGCACATTGTTGGAGGATTGCATCGGGAATCCTGACGTAATTCTGTTAGGACACCCAAAGAAGAGTTTATCTCATCTTGCTTCCTTTCTCACCCTGAGGCTAGTTGTAAAGAGATCAGGCACACCCACACACACACACACACACACACACACACACACACACACACACACACACACACACACACACACACACACACACACACACACACACACACACACACACGTACACACACAGGGAGAGAGAGAGAGAGACAGAGAGAAACAGAGAGAGACAGAGAGACACAGAGACACACAGAGAGAGAGAGAGAGAGAGAGAGAGAGAGAGAGAGAGAAGGGGGGGGGGATCTGTACCCAATTCTCATCTCAGCTTCTCTGCACCTTACAGACTTATTCTAGAGTGTATTACAGGCACTGCGTCGCTTTTGATCCTTCCAAAAAAGGGAACGTTGTTTTTTTGCAAGGACATGTTCTTCCATGTCTGACACGTGATGAATAATGTAAAACATTGGGGTTTTTTAAATCTGCAGAGCATCTCCGTCTTTTTCCTCCCTATCTGTTCTCTTATTCGTGTCTTGATCTTTTAAACAGAGATTATAAAACTTTTTGCGCTCCTGTTTCTCTTTTTATAAGGTGCCAAGTGTTATCACTAAGTAAAAAAGAAAGACAGAAAAGTAAAAGACATGCGGCACGACATACAGGAATCCGACGCTCGTCAATGTTTTGGTATACTGAGTTATTGGTATCACTTTAAAGTTTGTTTATTTATCTTACTTTTGATGAAAAATTTTCGTTATATTTTGAACAGAAGTTGGTGTATTTGCAGCTTAAAATTAGGTGGGGGCTGTTAGATATCAGAAGTAAAATAAACAAGAAAATGGCCTCCAAATGTTGGTGACTTCCAAACCCTGAGTGTACTTGGAAACTCTAAATTTACATATTTGTGCAAATGTTCAACATTGTCAGTAAAATTCATACAGAAATAATATGTTTTTAAACTGACATGAAATGTGTTGAGCAAAAAGACTAAAGACAACCCCCCCCCCACAAAAAACCCAAAACAACAACAACAGCAACAAACAAACAAACAAACAAACAAAATAAACAGCAACTACATCAACAAAACCATCGATCAAAGTTGCCCAGCATCCGAAGAAATGTCGGGTTCTTCGATTTAATTATGTTGACGAGACCTGATTCCACCATGATGCCTCAGAAATGTGCATCATAAAGTTAGTTATTTCAAATAGTACCAAGGAATTTCTTTCTCTCACAATATGTGTTAGAACACAAGATAACCGGCGTCAGTGGAGTAGCGGTTAGGCGCTTCGCTATTGAATGCTGAAAACCAGATTTTGATACCCTCGTGGGAAGTAATTTTTAACAAGTATCTGGGTCTTTCTGTTGGGATCTTGTATAATATCCCTGTCCTCTCAGTCCGGGTTATTCCCTACGTTCAGGGTCGGAAGCACGCCCCCTAAATTATCAAAATTGTATCGATGAGCTCATGAGGGCGTAAAACATTTTCATTAAAAATAAGATAGAGCTATGTTTGCTGCCATGAATTAACGATGATATGTTTCTGTAGCTGTTACATGTCATAAAAAATTATGTACGGAATACACTATCATACGCACATTTTTCTAATAACCAGATGGCGTCAATATCATAGAAATGGACAAGGGAAAAAAAACAACAACAAAAAAAACCCAAAACAAACAGCCCCCCCCCCAAAAAAAAAAAACAACCCAACAACAATCGACGCTGTTTTTGATCTTGCTGTCAGCGATATGCAGGAACGAAATTTAACTTGCTTCCAAAAAAACTTCTTTTCGAAGGAGGGTGCAACATTATTTTGTAACTGGCTGCCGCACACCCAAAATGCCAGTTCACATTCCGGGAGTTTCTGTTTGTTTTAATCAAGCACTTTAGCCCTGGTAATCAAAGTCAACGCAGCCAGTCTCCTAAAATATCTTTTTTTAATCGACTGGGGTGTAAAACATTTACAGTTTTATATTAAATTACCACTTTTTGCGATTCGGGGTACCCTTGGTCAATTGCTCGTTATAAAAGAAAATGGGGCAGAAGACGATGTGAGAAAATATTCTAGTCCTTACTCTAGAGATGCTATGATGTGTGAGAGTCACCAACAGGAAGAAGAGGAGCTGCGCCTCTATTAGTTAAACATTGTACTACTCATGTCCAAACACCCTCCTCCTCCCTCACCCCCTGGTCAAATATGTATCCTGACTGGAACGTTTTCCAAAGTGATCATCATTATTTTTTCCCTTTACAGTGATGGCCTTACCACTTCACAACTCTGAGCCAATCTTCTGTATATCTGCAACTCCCTCATCTGTTTAAAAAAAATTCCCCTGTTACAATGAGAACGTCTTGCCGTCTTCCATCAGTTCGAGTGCTCTTGCCTTACACAGCCTGCACGCCTGATCTGAGTCGAGTTCTTTTCAGAATTGTGCTCACATAGAGACTTACAGAGAATCCATAGGGTTGTGGTGGTTTGCATTTTTCTTCAACAGATTTTAATACCACCATCAATTTGGGCGTTTTCTCTGGTCAATACTCTCCTCTTTGAGTTGCTGTTTGTCGGAGAAGCTGTTCCACCAATATTAGTGCTTAGGCTTCAACCCAAAGATCACTTCAAAGCGGTGACGTCACTCCCCCCTCCTCTCTAACCCCTATCGCTCTCTCTCTCTCTCTCCCTTCTCTCTCTCTCTCCCCCTTCTCTTTCTGCACTATACATTATATTAATAATGACACACACACACATATACACACACATATATTGTACATAATAATAAATCAATGTAATTTTTATACATGTATTCAGATGCAGAATTGAAAATCAGATAATTTTTAAAAATACACTCGCACTTACTTCTAGAAATAAGCATCTTCAGCGTTCAACTCTGATACGACATCCTTTTTTATATTCTTTTTTATTGCTCCAGCTCAGGACATCGCAGCATCTGAACGCTTCTTGGCTGAGATTCCAAACTCTGGTGTGTAATCAATGTCTGAAAGACGAGAGGAAAATATGATTGGTTCGTTTCCGCGCGTTTTCTGTTGCAAAATCGTTTGGGTGAGGTCGCAGAGCATATTATTATCTTTTGTGTGGTTGGATGCTTCTTATTTTCTATCCAGTTTATTAAAGGTTTTAATATTGTGGAACAGAGTCGAAGATTTATGGGGGGTTTATTTCCTTCTGTTTTGTTGTTTATTCTTTGTCTGTGGGTAGGCCTATATAATCAAGAGGTAGACTGTGGCGCATTCTTTTAAAATGCTCTTGCCATTATATTAAAATGTGTCAACCATTGCAGGAGACCTCAAAATTTTAGTTGTCGGATACAATAAGAAGTAAACAACTGTGGGATCAAACAAATAAACAGAATCGGATAAAGAGACTGTTTATTAGTCATTCTAACTTTTTCCCAGCACGAAATGATCAGTATTGTATCGATTTGCTTTTGTTTATTTAAACATACAATGAGACATTAGTGTGCAAGAACATCGTAAGCACAAACACGCACACATACACACACACACACACACACACACACACACACACACACACACACACACACACGCACACATACACGCACCCGCCAGATATTTCCGGACACTTGTAACATTCTTGTATGAAAGATTTTGTTTGTTGTCTCCAATATAAAAAGGAGGTTAGTGACCCTGGGGTTCTAAGTCTAAGACAGGAAAGTGTAGGTTTATAATTGGGAATCATGCTGGACGTAAAGACAGTAGGTAGCGGGCAGATGGTAATCTTAGAGGATAATGCTAGGTCTATGGAGATGTACAAAGCACCATGCCTTGGATAAGGGGTCGTTGGCAAGACAAGGGACGGTTACAATTTATTGACTTTTAAGTATTATGTTCATTCTTCTCATCAACAAAAACTTAGAACAAGAACAATCTTCTTGTTGTTGTTGAATTTACATGTACGTGATAGCAACTCTCTTGAAAAAGGCACACGGGCTTCTGTAGCGTAGTGGTTAGATGTTGTCGCTGTCGCACGCAGGAGACCCGAATGGAGAGAATTTCTATCGAGTATCTCGGTCTCTCGGCTAGAATAATAGTATATTAAATTATCCCTCTCAGACCAGGTTGCCCCTGATAGGCTGGGTCGAAAGCCTGCCACCTGAAAGATATTATAAATATAAATTGTATCGATGGGGACGTAATAACGCCTACATTTTTAAGTGCTAAATTTAGTCAAGAAAAGGATATCACAGTAATCTGAAAACACTGAAACGCACTATAACGATATACTTGTAAACTTACTATAAGTATACTGTCTGGCGAAACTACAAACGATCATAAACCTTGCAGATTATGTCGAAGCAATCAGCTGTTCAAAGAACCACGCCAGGGCTCGAGGAGTTATCGTTCTTACCACTCTTAGCCAATCAGTTACCGAGGTGGTCCTAAAGATGCTAATTTGTTTGATCCAGGCTTAAGTTTCCCGAAAAAAGGAATAGAGTCTAAAAATATATGGGAGAAAGAAAGATGTTGAAAAGGAATTTCCGTAGAGTAATGACACTATAAATAGTCTACTAGCTTCAGAATTATAGGTTAGTCAACCAAAAGGATTTAGACGCCCAAATCTCTTTTCTCGCCACCCCCCTTCTCTCTCTCTCTCTCTCTCTCTCTCTCTCTC